GGCCCCGAGGCAGCGCCCCGCCCGGGGAAGGCGGCTCGGGACTGCGGCCTCTGCCGCTCTCCGTCTGTCCATCCGGCGGCGGGGGAGGCCTATAGCGCCGAGTGGGACGGGCCTGGCCGGTTGAGGACACCCGCCCGGGCTCCGCGCGCCCCCCATGGCCCGCGTCCCGCTTGCGCCTATCCCTCGCTGGCTCCGGCCCTCTCCTCCTGCAGCACCTCGCCAGTCGCGGGCATCGCGCGCGGGGCTCGGGTCGTCCGGTCTTGCAGGAGTTCCAGGCTCCACCCCACCCAGCGTGGGTCCCCCACGGCCAGGCCTTGGCAACCCCCACCTCACGCGCCCCGCCCTGGGGCTCCCTGTGAGAAGGGCCTGGGCCAGGACCTGGGAGCCCTGGTCTGCCCGAGACGACGCTGGGAGCCAGCAAACAGTGTGCCACAGGGGCTGGGGAGCTAGGGACTGCCGACTCCTGGCGCTGGGTCTTCTTCGACGCCAGGCTTGCAGCATTTTTTGGGGCGGTGCCTTGATGGTATTTCAGGGGGCTCTGGAGGGTACCCAGCACCTCCAAACTTGCCTTGTGCTTTTGGCCTGCTGACCCAGCACCTCCAAATGCCTCCTCCTTCAGGCAGTCCTCCCAGATGGGCCTTTCCTGCCTTTTCTAGGAACAGGCTGTTGGCAGATTCGGGGATCTTGCCTCCCAGTTCTGGGGGTCTTCCTGCTGAGGAACCCAGAGGTTCCTGCCAGTTCAGAACTCTGGTTCCTCTCCTAAGCTCCTTGGAAAAGAAAGGAAGGAAGGAAGGGGTCCGTGTGTACACCATAGCCTGCGAGCAGGGAGCTCAGGGCAGAGGGTGAGAGGCTGAACCTGGGGGAAGCCCTTTCCAGATCTAACTTTAGTCTGTGCTTGGGGCCCAACCTTAGACTGAGCAGCTGCAAGAGGGAAAGGAGGGGGTGGCTATGCTAGGAGAACCGGCCTGTGCTGCCCTGAGCTGGGGACCTCTGGGGCCCATGAGTCCTGCCTGGTGGTCAGGGAGCCAGGGTCAGGGCAGTGCCATTAGGAGGCCAGGTTTCCTGCTGGGGTGCAACCAGCTCCCCGAGCAGGGGTGGGGCTCAGCAGATTTGAGTCCCCCTCAGCTTTACTGGGGGTTCACCTTGGTTTCTGGGGTCGGGGGTATGTCGGGTCAGGGGCTCCTTGCCCCAGAAGGGGAGGGAAGTTACTGAGAAAAACAAGGTTTTAGAATGTGTGTCCCCCTCCCCCTGCCGGCTGCCTGCCAAGGAGGAATTATTTTGGATTATCCAGCCGTGTCCAGCCAGGCGAGAGGAGGCTGTGGCCACGAGAGAGGGATCCACTTCCGGGCTGTGTGTTGGGAGCCCGGTGGGAGGACAGGCAAGTCTGGGCAGCTCAGCACCCGCACTGCTCAGACCCGGCGGGGGCGGGGTGGGAGCCAGCTGCGTCAGGGGGAGCTGAGGCGCCTGGAGGAGGAGTTCCAAGAGCCCTGGCCCCTGTCCTCAGGGTCAGGAGAAGGACCCAGCCTGGGACCCTGTTTCCATGGTCTTCAAGGCCCTTTGAGAGGCTTCCCTGGGTCCATGGAGAAGGAAGCAGGCAGGGTTGATGGCTAGGGATTAGGTGGGTGCCCACTGACTATGTGACCAGCAGCTGGCTGATGGGCAG